AGGATCCCCTGTCCGGGCTGGTGAGGTACGTGGCCATCTCGTCGTCGATGAGTGCGAGGAGCTTCTCGCGCAGCTCGCAGAACTCGGAGAAGCAGCGACGGATGTGCCGGCTCCTCTGCGTCTTGGTGTCTTCAACCCGCTAGATGTAGACCGTGAACGCCTTGAGCGCCAAGGCCGACGTGATGGTCGCTGTCAATGAGCTCATGGAGCCATTCATGGTGGTCCTGCCTGTGTGGTACGAGGCGATTGCAAGAGTGCCGACTGGTGATCGCTTGATCCCCCCGTTTCAGCCCCCAACTAGACGAAGGCGTTGGCGCTGCGGTTTCGTGTGGTCCGTGTCTCGCTCGCCTTTCAGCTCTACCCGAAACCAGTTACGCGCGCTTGCTCGCTTGATTCGCAGTCTCAGAACCTGATGCTTCTTCACACGAGCCTCGGGATGCAGCCTGCCGCTGCCAGTATCGACCCTCAGGTCTAGATCTAGATAATGTGGCAAAATGTGTTGTTCGCGGCCGCCGCCAGCTCCGACGGCACGCTTCGAGCCGCGCACGCGACCGGCATTAGTTTGTAGGCACTGCATACATGAAGTAGAACGGCCAACACCGCCGAGAACGGCGGCTATCGGCAGCCTGCCGCTGCCAGTATCGACCCTCTGGTCTAGATTTTGAAAATGTGGCAAAATGTGTTGTTCGCGGCCGCCGCCAGCTCCGACGGCACGATTCGAGCCGCGCACGCGACCGGCATTAGTTTGTAGGCACTGCATACATGAAGTAGAACGGCCAACACCGCCGAGAACGGCGGCTATCGGCAGCCTGCCGCTGCCAGTATCGACCCTCAGGTCTAGATCTAGATAATGTGGCAAAATGTGTTGTTCGCGGCCGCCGCCAGCTCCGCCTGCACGCTTCGAGCCGCGCACGCGGCCGGCATTAGTTTGTAGGCACTGCATACGTAAAGTAGAACGGCCAACACCGCCGAGAACGGCGGCTATCGGCAGCCTGCCGCTGCCAGTATCGACCCTCAGGTCTAGATCTAGATAATGTGGCAAAATGTGTTGTTCGCGGCCGCCGCCAGCTCCGCCGGCACGATTCGAGCCGCGCACGCGACCGGCATTAGTTTGTAGGCACTGCATACGTAAAGTAGAATGGCCAACACCGCCGAGAACGGCGGCTATCGGCAGCCTGCCGCTGCCAGTATCGACCCTCAGGTCTAGATTTTGAAAATGTGGCAAAATGTGTTGTTCGCGGCCGCCGCCAGCTCCGCCGGCACGCTTCGAGCCGCGCACGCGACCGGCATTAGTTTGTAGGCACTGCATACATGAAGTAGAACGGCCAACACCGCCGAGAACGGCGGCTATCGGCAGCCTGCCGCTGCCAGTATCGACCCTCAGGTCTAGATTTTGAAAATGTGGCAAAATGTGTTGTTCGCGGCCGCCGCCAGCTCCGCCGGCACGATTCGAGCCGCGCACGCGACCGGCATTAGTTTGTAGGCACTGCATACATGAAGTAGAACGGCCAACACCGCCGAGAACGGCGGCTATCGGCAGCCTGCCGCTGCCAGTATCGACCCTCAGGTCTAGATCTAGATAATGTGGCAAAATGTGTTGTTCGCGGCCGCCGCCAGCTCCGCCGGCACGATTCGAGCCGCGCACGCGACCGGCATTAGTTTGTAGGCACTGCATACGTAAAGTAGAATGGCCAACACCGCCGAGAACGGCGGCTGTCGGCAGCCTGCCGCTGCTAGTATCGACCCTCAGGTCTAGATTTAGAAAATGTGGCAAAATGTGTTGTTCGCGGCCGCCGCCAGCTCCGCCGGCACGATTCGAGCCGCGCACGCGACCGGCATTAGTTTGTAGGCACTGCATACATGAAGTAGAACGGCCAACACCGCCGAGAACGGCGGCTGTCGGCAGCCTGCCGCTGCCAGTATCGACCCTCAGGTCTAGATTTTGAAAATGTGGCAAAATGTGTTGTTCGCGGCCGCCGCCAGCTCCGCCGGCACGATTCGAGCCGCGCACGCGACCGGCATTAGTTTGTAGGCACTGCATACGTAAAGTAGAATGGCCAACACCGCCGAGAACGGCGGCTATCGGCAGCCTGCCGCTGCCAGTATCGACCCTCAGGTCTAGATCTAGATAATGTGGCAAAATGTGTTGTTCGCGGCCGCCGCCAGCTCCGCCGGCACGATTCGAGCCGCGCACGCGACCGGCATTAGCTTGTACGCACTGCATACGTGAAGTAGAACGGCCAACACCGCCGAGAACGGCGGCTATCGGCAGCCTGCCGCTGCCAGTATCGACCCTCAGGTCTAGATCTAGATAATGTGGCAAAATGTGTTGTTCGCGGCCGCCGCCAGCTCCGCCGGCACGCTTCGAGCCGCGCACGCGACCGGCATTAGTTTGTACGCACTGCATACGTGAAGTAGAACGGCCAACACCGCCGAGAACGGCGGCTATCGGCAGCCTGCCGCTGCCAGTATCGACCCTCAGGTCTAGATCTAGATAATGTGGCAAAATGTGTTGTTCGCGGCCGCCGCCAGCTCCGCCGGCACGATTCGAGCCGCGCACGCGACCGGCAATTGTTTGTACGCACTGCATACGTGAAGTAGAACGGCCAACACCGCCGAGAACGGCGGCTATCGGCAGCCTGCCGCTGCCAGTATCGACCCTCAGGTCTAGATCTAGATAATGTGGCAAAATGTGTTGTTCGCGGCCGCCGCCAGCTCCGCCGGCACGATTCGAGCCGCGCACGCGACCGGCAATTGTTTGTAGGCCCTGCATACATGAAGTTGAATGGCCAACACCGCCGAGAACGGCGGCTATCGGCAGCCTGCCGCTGCCAGTATCGACCCTCAGGTCTAGATCTAGATAATGTGGCAAAATGTGTTGTTCGCGGCCGCCGCCAGCTCCGCCGGCACGATTCGAGCCGCGCACGCGACCGGCATTAGTTTGTAGGCACTGCATACATGAAGTTGAATGGCCAACACCGCCGAGAACGGCGGCTATCGGCAGCCTGCCGCTGCCAGTATCGACCCTCAGGTCTAGATCTAGATAATGTGGCAAAATGTGTTGTTCGCGGCCGCCGCCAGCTCCGCCGGCACGCTTCGAGCCGCGCACGCGACCGGCATTAGTTTGTAGGCACTGCATACATGAAGTAGAACGGCCAACACCGCCGAGAACGGCGGCTATCGGCAGCCTGCCGCTGCCAGTATCGACCCTCAGGTCTAGATCTAGATAATGTGGCAAAATGTGTTGTTCGCGGCCGCCGCCAGCTCCACCGGCACGCTTCGAGCCGCGCACGCGACCGGCATTAGTTTGTAGGCACTGCATACATGAAGTAGAACGGCCAACACCGCCGAGAACGGCGGCTATCGGCAGCCTGCCGCTGCCAGTATCGACCCTCAGGTCTAGATTTTGAAATGTGGCAAAATGTGTTGTTCGCGGCCGCCGCCAGCTCCGACGGCACGCTTCGAGCCGCGCACGCGACCGGCATTAGTTTGTAGGCACTGCATACATGAAGTAGAACGGCCAACACCGCCGAGAACGGCGGCTATCGGCAGCCTGCCGCTGCCAGTATCGACCCTCAGGTCTAGATTTTGAAAATGTGGCAAAATGTGTTGTTCGCGGCCGCCGCCAGCTCCGCCGGCACGCTTCGAGCCGCGCACGCGACCGGCATTAGTTTGTAGGCACTGCATACATGAAGTAGATCGGCCAACACCGCCGAGAACGGCGGCTATCGGCAGCCTGCCGCTGCCAGTATCGACCCTCAGGTCTAGATTTTGAAAATGTGGCAAAATGTGTTGTTCGCGGCCGCCGCCAGCTCCGCCGGCACGCTTCGAGCCGCGCACGCGACCGGCATTAGTTTGTAGGCACTGCATACATGAAGTAGATCGGCCAACACCGCCGAGAACGGCGGCTATCGGCAGCCTGCCGCTGCCAGTATCGACCCTCAGGTCTAGATCTCGAAAATGTGGCAAAATGTGTTGTTCGCGGCCGCCGCCAGCTCCGACGGCACGCTTCGAGCCGCGCACGCGACCGGCATTAGTTTGTAGGCACTGCATACATGAAGTAGAACGGCCAACACCGCCGAGAACGGCGGCTATCGGCAGCCTGCCGCTGCCAGTATCGA